GTTAAAGAGATGACTAGTAGAACTAATGTAAAAAGGTTACACTGCGTAAATGTGGAAAATATGTTTCAAAGGAAGTAACTCTGGTCTTACGCTATCTGATGGTGATCATAACCTATCATAACCTATAATGGGTTTGTTATCCAGTTATTAGGTGATTATGTGTTCCGTCTGTCAATAGTAGGAGCCAAGCAGCCCTTTAATGAGCAACACAATAGAAGCTAGGCGATTATAGCAACGCCAGACCTTTGCCAGTAAGTCCAGCTTTAGTGAGGAATTGCTGTATAAATTAGCATGCCTTGGAAAAATGGTAGGGAAGGTAGAAAACAAAAATATTGGATGTAGGGGTATAGTCTGGAATTAGGAATCAGAAAAGTATTTCATGTAAAGGTGGTATTTGATGCTTCTAGCGGTACTTGGATTGAATGGCACTCAGATTGAAACTGTCAAGGAAATGACAACAGAATATTGAAAATTCAGCAAATGTCATAATAGCATAGATTTAATTTTATTGCTAAATTACAAAAGAAAAGTTACTTCTAGTGTTGAAGTCCTTCTTCAAAATATGTTGTTTATCCAAAGAATGCTCCTTTAAAGATACAGCCACAGTATAAATACTTTCTGCTTGGGGGTTCTGAATGCATTAGTTATTTGGAACATTATACCATAAGAGATTGAAACTGTATGTTCAGTTTAGAGTTTATCAGATGTCTGCACGTATCATGGCAGTAAAAGCAATAGAATTGTAATGTGTTAAGTGGAGTTCTAGTATTTCAATTACAGTGAATCTTTAAACATTACACAAATTGGGGTGGTGTCTTTTCAAATGTTGGATTCTTGTGTCATCCGAGCTTGGTTGTTTTCCTATGGACATTTCACTATCATCATTATCACTGCACTAAGAACCCAAAAACTCCTCAAATTCCCAGCAAATCAATTCAGTGCTAACTAAAGACTGGGTGCTATAGTCTATTCATGTAGAAGAGAACAATTTGAGGAAAGTTGTTTTATTGTAACCAAGCTAAACAATGTATGCTAAATAAACATTCATCCTTTGCTCATTCCGCAACCATTTCCTTCTTTCTTTGACACACGTGAAACTTATATGTGGAGCTCTTTGAGGCTTCTGTTTGTGTTAAAGTAAATTTACAAAATAGGCGTATTTTGTAAAAATTCAGAAATAGATTTTCTACTTTTTAAAATTGATGTAGTCCTTTATAGTTAATTATAGAATAATAGGGTTGCGATTCAACTGGTGTAACAACTGGTTTGGTGAATGCACGCAAAGCATTTGAAAAATGTTGCTTTTTTTAGCTCTAAAACTTATCTTCTGCTGCAGTCCTGGTGAGTAAATCAGCTGAAGTATGCCAAACAACTGAAATGGAAAACTAGGAAATAAAGGACAGAATAGGGCAGAGGTGGGTGGGCAGGGCCAAGTTATCACCGTAACTACTGGTTCGTCCCAACTGGGCTGAACCAGTAGAATCCCATCCCTGATTTTAAATGAACAATAGGTGTCAAGAGAACATCTCAGCCCTTTGTAGTCATCTCATATGCAAAATTTATCAGTAAGAATAATATATAGAAAGATCATCTTGGAATTTGTCCTGCCATGAACAAAATCCCTTCCAACATAGTTTTGTGTCTCTACACATTTTCTAGAAAAGTAACAAAATGAATGCTTGTGGCAAAGACAGTTTGCACGTTTAAAAATTTGCTTCAGTTTATATTTTTCTTAACAAGTATATTGACAACTTGTAAGTTAAGATTAAGCCATCTCATGTTGCAAACCCTCATGGGATCCCCAGCCCTTTGGGAGAAGGTGAACCTACAACTACCTCTTATTGCCTAAGATCAATCACATAATTTCTGTTCATTTTGAATTAGGAAACTTTTAAAAATGGTGGCTAGGTTGTAGCATGGGCTTAATGTAGTTTTAAGTAAGGACAAAAACGGGGGTGGAGGAGAGAATAAGGGGGAAAATCCAGAAAATCCTGGTTTTGCCCATTTTTTATTGCCCCACCTACAAAATGTGACCTCTAGTTTTCAAGAAAGTGCTCATTCCTGTTCTATTAAGAAAAGAAGCATTTTTACCACCTCTCTTTACCAGGTTCTTAATTGTTGATTAATTTTGGCCTTGGTTTCAACTTAGGTGTTTTTCACTTTCAGTATTTTGTATTTTAGTAATTGTTAGCTGTTTTGAAGCATAACTGTGCCATCCCTGTAGGCAGTGCTCTCTGAGATTATTTTTTAGATTGTCACTTTCTATGCCTTCCTATTGTGTCAGTAATTTTAATCTCGTTGTACACATTGGTGAATAACATTCAAGAAATCTTCCTTCTCGCCTTAAACTTTTGTTTTGAAAATGTCTCTAAAAATGATGAGTGAAACCCCGGTGGCTGAATTAGTGAGCTTTTTGGATAGGCATTATCGGGGGTGGGTGGGATATTGTTATTGTTGATGGGTTTCAGGTTATTGTTCTTTCCTCTCTGCTCTAGCAAGTACAGGTTGGGCCATTCATTGGTGCACAAATTAAGATTGAAGGGAAATCTCATTCTTCACCCCTAAATTGGAATACTATAATTAACATTTCTGTGCCACTGACTGAGAGTTTCCTTGGTAATGGAGAACTGCAGCTGAGACTCTCATAGCACTTAAAGGACGCCACCAATATGTTAGCACATCCGTGTCCATTAAATGTTACCATAGGTTGATTAACAGTAGAAGTGAAGGGGAGGAGAAGCGAGTTCAACATTCAAAGTGGTCCATCCTAAAAGTTAGAACTGGCTAATTGGGAATCACACTTTCATCCATCATGTATTTAAATGTACAGAAATTGCACATACCTTCAATATTTCACTTGCATCATAGATAGCATGATTTGATCCCAAATTCACCATATACAATACACAATGTACAATAAATATACACAATATACAGGAGAACTATTTCAACTATATACACCAAGTATACAAGAGGACTACCTCAACATCTGAGATTATCAGACATATTTTTTCAAGCCACATAATGTCATAATGTTCATCATTGCAATATCCATTTGGCCCACCAAGTCTTAAAACTCCTGTCTAAATTTGCTGAATGTACTGGACTGTAATAGCATTGCTTCAAATTCTGGGTGAAATTTAAAATGGCGGAGTTACTGGAATGCTACCATTAGAGTTTATGAGGATGATCCCAGAGTACAAAGGTGCCCACAGTCAGTCCAAAAATTAGTCAGCCTTGACAATACATCAATATCTAACTTCTATTGCCTACTAATATTGTGTTATTTATAGATGAACCTCTGTTTTTTCTCTTTTTTAACTTCTCATGGTCTAAACTAATATATAAACATACGTTTTGAGTGAATCTCAGTAATCATCCCAAGGAGGCTTTTTCCAAAAGGCAACTGGAGTTTATTGTTGTTTTTTCCTTTGGAAACATTTTTCTTCTCATCCAAGAAACTTCTTCAGCTCTTGGATGACAAGCAAAACATTTTCAAAGCAAAAACCAAGAAAATCCAGTTGCCTTTTGGAAAAAGCACCTTTGGGACAACCAAGACTTGGATGATTGAGAATCTCTATTGACATTTCACTAATAACTGATTTTGTGTAATATACAGATTGTGCACTGTTACATCCCATTGTCTGTTCTTATGTTAAAAGGATGTAGAATTTAATCTCACTGAGACAATATCTCGGTGTTCTATTTGTTCCTTGGGATGTGGGAGAGTAGCTAGAATGTCTCACTTGGAAGAATGTGGGAGATAACATTTGGGATGGAAAGCTTGAACTTCATATATTGTTGAACTAGTCTAATAAATAAGTATCTAGTTAAATAAATTAGCATGCTCCTTTGTCTCTAATAATTTTAGAGTGGTTTTAGGAGTGAAAGACTGCTAAGGCCAGGCAACTTTACTATGGCTAGCAATTGCAACTACCATTCTTTTTACCAACACATAAGAACCACTGTAAGATCAAAGAAATCATGCTGGTATGTTTGAGGATTATGATTTTTGGTGTGGGATTTTTGAGAAGGGATAAGAATTAATTTCATTTTTTAAGCTTAAAACTTAAATCATAGGACATTAAAGTAACCTTTTAGGCAGCAGGAAATTATAATATTGACTTGGGGAGAAGATTCTGCAAGGGCTTCTAGCGGTTTAGACACCATTTTGTCTTTTTTTAGAAGTTGGAAGGGTCTGTGGAGGTCTTCTAGTCCAATACTTACCCAGAACAGAACTCCTTATTCTACCTTTGACAAATGGTTGTCCAGTCTTTCCTTGAAAACCTCCAGCAATGGAGCACCCACAACTTTGGGACACAAGCTGCTCCATTGACTTAATTTTTCACATGGGTGTAATGTTCCATAGATCAGAGGTCCCCAACCCCATCCGTAGACTGACACTGTCCTGCGGCATGCCAGAAACTGGGCTGCACAAACAACCGAAGCCCCGTCTGTGGGATGCAGGCAGCACACGAAGTCACGTCCCTTCCAGTCTGCGGAAAAAACTCTCTCCATGGAACCAATTCCTGGTGCCCAAAAGGTTGGGGGCCGCCGCCATAGATAGTCTGTCCTCTGCTACTAAATTGTCTGTTCTGCGAAATATTTACATAACTGGTGCATCTTGTAAGGTTTTTATGTAAATTCTAAAAAGAGAATCTTATTATTATTTAACAAGCGAGCCAGTTTGGGGAGCCAAGAATGAAAAAAGGTCTTTTATGGAATGGAGCCCAAAATTTACAGAATTCTTTCTCTACTTTCTTTAGAAATGGAGGCAGACTTTATTTTTTAAAACTTTTGTGGAAAATTCTTGTACTTGTTGATTTATGGGTACATTTATTAAGGCCACTGTGCCCCATGTAACTTGCCTTTTATTGCTATTGTGCTGGGAATCGTGGGACATAAAAGGATGGTAATTTTAAAGAAATGTGAAATGGCTGTGGTACTCGTGAGGTGTTTGTATGATGTGTGAGGAAAATAACTCTTTTCCTATCTTTTAGGTGCCATTACTGCAAATCTTCATGCCATGTCTCTTCTCTGCGTATACCATATGCATGTAAGCTTCTCTTCCAAGAACTTCAATCTATGAATATTATACCCAGATTAAAATTGTCCAAGTACAATGAATAAACGAATGACAAACAAAGAAAGAAGAAGCTGGCGGGAATGTAATCAGAGCAAGTTCAAGTGGAAGTGCTAAACCACATAAGCCACAAGTTCCTCTTGGTTTTCTTTTCCCTCTTTGGCTGGGAAACAGTCCTCAAGAGAATGTTAGACGCTGCAAGGGCAAGACTCAAGCTGTGTTTATCTGTGACAAACAACAAGAGGTTTTGTATAGAAGATAGAAAAGGAAATAGATGCAGCAATCTGGTATCCTTTGAACTGAGGGAAAGCCCTACAGATCAGCCATTTGTAACAGAACAAGCAACATAAACACAAGCATAAATAAATAAACAAACATTTGGAATAGCAATACACTGTTAAAATCAATGAAGTTTAAAGGACCAACTTTTGATGTTTTGGTGACTTGAAGTGTAATTTTTAATAACTGGAGGTTCTTTTCCCATGCCAAGTATAGTGTTTTTTTTAATGTTATTCACTGAGATTGGAAATTAATAAAAACTTAAAAGATATTGTCCAATGTTGGTTTTGGTGGCCAAATATCTTATGTATCTACATGGCACAACAATATTACTAATAGTAGTAAACATGATTGAGGCAGCCACCTGTTGTAAAGTAGGCTGCCCTTTCTTTTCTGTGATGTTCTATAGAATAGGTATTCGGGGATTCAGAGATGTATAGCCATAGAATTCAAATCCTAAGGGAATCCTAAGATAGCCTGAATCAGACGGTGCTTCCAATTGCACTTGCAATTTTGGGAGGCTGGAGGGGATAGGAGAGTTCCAAATAAGCATGGGCTATAAGAGTTCAGCCACTGTAGCAAACATTTGACTTGGGAGACAGCATTGAACAAACCTATCAGAAAATAGTCCTGGAGAAACATGTTATTTTCTGTTTTCTGATTTAGAGCACTGGGCCAAGAGGTTTTGCTATGCAAAATTAAAACTGCAAGTAATTTACATTTCCAGGCACTTTTTAAACAGTTCGTTAGTTTTTTTTTGAATGGCATCTGTTGTTAGGACTTCTAACTGTCCATCTTTAAAATTCCCTTTTCACATCCCTGTAGTTCCTATTTGGGATAAAGTCAGGATAACTGGATGGAGCTGAGCATTTACTGGCTGGATACCCTTCCTGATGCCTTCACACAGATCGCAGTATATATATTTTCTTTGTGGCCTAGGAGAAAAACATCTGTTCTACTTAGGATTGAACTCCCAACCTGTTGAAGTCTGCCAGCAGCCTGCGGAGACGGCAGCAGAGTCAGACAATGGGGAGGAATATGGGCCAGTCTGGGAGTCTGGGGAGGACTCAGACAAGGATCCTTCATCCGATACAGAGATGGGGCCAGGACCATCTGGGAGTTATGTGCTGACTCTGGAGCCTCCAGAATCTGACAGCAGCGAGGCAGAGGAACAAGGGTAGCCTGTTCCCAGTGTGTGCGTATGCAGAGCTGCCAGAAGGCAAGATCAGTTAAGACAAAAGGGGCAACTTGGGAGTAAGGCTTGGAGGTGATTGGCCCTCCCATAAGACATAAAGGAGGACCAAAGGGACAGGAACCTTTGCAGGAAGCAACTTTGTTTGTACTGGTGGCTTTGAAACCTGAAGCTCTGTTGAATTTGTGTTTCGTTTTGCCTTGTATAACTAATTCGAAATTTAGTCGTTGGCAGCATTTCAAGGAAGATAAAGGTGTGTGTTTATCAAACTTATCGTGAAGGACTTTGGCAGGCTTCCTATTTACAAACTGTTTGAGACTCATTATAATGACAAAAATTCTCAGCCATTGAAATAAAGAAGGGTTTGGGATTGTGTTTGTTAGTGTCTCAATAAGCCTTGGTCAGAACACAACCTTATGTGAGGTCAACATCTTCGCCACTAGGCCACCACATCACTAACTGTCCATCTTTAAATGTTATATTAATTCTAAGGAATAACTGCATTCCTGGCACAAAAAATGACAATTATTTGTTGATAACAAAATACTTTTCCTTTTTGAGATAGTAGTTTGCAGTTCACAATCACAGTGTGGATTGTTATTCCTTAAAGTAGTAGCATCAGAAATACTACTCACTTTCTCCAGTTGCTAGTGATGTCAGGAGCAAAATATAGAATTATACGGCTGGAAGGGATCTGGAGGTCATGCTCAGGACAGAAGACCATTTCAACAGCTTGGTCAAATGATTGCTTGGTCTATTTATAAAAACCTCCAGTGATGGAGCACCCATAACTCTGAGAGGCAAACTATTCCTTGGATCAATAGTTCTCACTATCAGAAAATTTCTCCTCCTATATTAGATCTCTCTTTAACAAGCTTCCGCTCATTACTTCTTGTCCTGCCCTCTGGTGCATTGAAGAATACATAAATTTCCTCTTCTCTGTGACAACCCGTCAAGTCCTGGAAGATAGTTATCATGTCCCCTCTAATCCTTCTCCTTCATAGGATAGGCTAGACAAACCTAGCTCCCTGAACAGTTCATCATAAAATGCATAAACAGTAGCATCAAAATACATCCAATATTTCATCTGCTCCCAATCCACAAGGCAAATATGTCCCTTACGTGTTTTATTAGTAAATTTGTGCTCTAGCAGAGCAGTTGAAAGAATTTGTGTATGAACCATAAAGAATGCTAAAGATTTTGCCCATCATTTGGGCAAAGTCAACATCTGAAGAAATTCGCCTGGTTGTATTATTGATTTTAATAAACGTAGAGCAATGTTAAGATTCAAAAGCTGAAAAAGCTAATGAGAAGTGAAAGCCTCGATGGGTGGTTTTTCCTAAAAACAACAACAACAAACAAACAGGTGATATTGCAAGTATAAGTGCAAACAATTCTCATGAGGAAAGAATCCAGAAAGGAAAAAAGCCACAGTAAGTATGTGAAGCTTTGTGAAGCTTTGAAAATAAGTGAGATAGGAAAGGTGGAAAGATGGGCAAGACATCAAGAAGGATAAGGAAAGCTGGAATGGTAGCAATGATATCAGGACAGATTAAGCTTAGAAAGAGCTGAAGTGGACAATGATGTTAAGAACAAGTTAGGGATATCATGCAGAGCATACCGTAGTTTTTGGAATTCTTTCTGACCCCTTAATAGAAGCTCTGCAGTGACGAGGAGGGTAGATCGAGGGGGCTTAAACTGTCAGGTTTTTGAGCCACCGCCTAATTATTTTTCCCTTAGGAGTGGCTTTTTTTTCTCCTGGATTTATTTCTTCGAATCCTTAGCTGGATCTGATCCATTTTCAAACTCAATGCCACTTTTTTGGTTACACCGGTTTTGGCTTTGTTCTGTTTTCTCCAATGAAGACAGCTAACTGTTACCCAACTCTACAGTGATTCGAGAAGGAGAAATGCCCCTATGTTTAAAAGAACGTGGATTCTGGAAATTGCATATTTGCCAGTTTGTAGGATTATTCTAGAGAACATTAACCAGACCTATAAGCACTTAGAAATGACAATTCCATAATTATAATAATTGAATTGAACAATAATCCAATAATCCAGAATGGATTTGTCAAGCCCAAGTCTTGCATACTGGACTTTTTTTTAAAAAAAAAAAAAATGGTATTCTCTATTCCTTATAGATCATGGGAATTCTACAGGTGTAATAGATCTTGATTTCAACAAAGCATTTGTCATAGTACTTGTGACATTTTGGTTAGCATGCCAGGTAAATGTGAGATAAATAGCATGACAAATATATGAAAAATCGTCTTGGAAGACTTCATGTCTACTTGGAAACCACTTTTGGACTTTGCTTGAAATTGAGAAACAAAGTTCTAACCTTGGGATTAGAATTGTGTATGATTGCAGAAGTACTGTGTACTATGGTTACTCTAATTCAAGGAGTCTTTTAATTTCATGCTTGCATTTGTATTAAAGAAAGTCTGAACTTACTTTTTTCTATAGTTTTTTCTCTCTTCTTATCTCCACCTCCTTATTTTGTTTTTCCTTGCACCTCCTTTTTTTCTTTCCAACTTTTTTCCTTTGAACCTTTCTTGTATTTTATATTCTTATGAAATTCAATAAAAGTTTTGTGGAAAAGAAGGAAAAATTATCTTGAAAGAGAATTCATTAATGGTTCCATATCACAGAAGTTTTGAGTATGTCCCCCCCCCCCCACACACAAAATTTCTGTTTGGGATTTTATATTGTGGAATATTTGTGGTTTGTTGCTTGGATGAGGAAGTGGAGAGGATGATTATGAACTTTGTAGATGACAGAAAATTGGGTAGAATACCTAATAACCTATATATCCTGCCAATTTTGGTAATTTGCAGGTGTGTGGACTTTTAACTAGATTTCTTAGCAATAGTCCAGCTAACTGGGGAATTCTGAGAGTTGAAATCCACAAATCCAGAAGTTTCTAGGGCTAGAAATTGCCCTAGAAAATAGAAATGAATTACAAGTTATTATTGATAACATGAGAAAAATAACTGAAAATTACAGAATGAAATTTAATATAGAGAAATGCAAAGTTATGTATGTAGGAAACAAGAATAAAACATGGGTATACCATAGGAGACACTTGAGTTGACAATCTTTATGGGAAAATATCTTAAAATAGTAGCTGGCTATAAAATGAATCAGGATGATGTAATAATTAAAGTTTGAACTAGGAGTGGTGCCATGTTTGTTCAAATCTACAGACACAGAAGCATACTGGGTGACTGGGCGAGTCACACACTCAACGTACTTCATAAAGTTGCTGTAGGTGGAAATAGAAAAGGGAACTAGTGTGCTTTGTCTTGAGCAAGTGAACAAAAGATGGGACATAGAACCAATAAATAATGCATATGTAGGAAAAGAAATGTGACATGATTGAAAAAAGGCAAATGTAATTTTAGACTGCATCAACAGAAGCAGAATTTCCAAATTGGATGGAATTCTACTTATTCAAACCCCACTTTGAGTCTTGTGTCCAATTCTGTTCCTACTTTAAGAAAGATTCAGAGAAGCTGGAACAGCTTCACAAAAGGATAAAAAGGAGGACTAAGGGACTAGGAATTTAAGTCCTCCGCAGAACCAAGGGTATTTAGCTTTGAGAAGACAGAAGGAGGTACCACTCTTTAGATATGGAGTGGGGGTGGGAAATGCCTCCTAGAAGGCCTTCTTCATTGTTCCAGAGTGCAGAAATAGGAATGTTCCTAACAACAACAACAAGAAGAAGAGCCGTTAGATATCAGAATCAATTCCACAGGGAGATAGATGACGGCTCTCCTTT